GGCACCTGCCAGTTGATGATGCGTGGTGGACGCACATTATTCCTACATGACGTATTATATGCTCCGGAGATTCGTTGGAATTTAGTGGCTGTGTTAGTGTTGGTTAAACTTGGTTTTAATTTAAACTTCCATAATAGTGGTGTTGATTTGTATTTGAATACGAATTACTATGGTTGTGGATACTTTCTAAATGGTTTTATTGTACTAGATGTTGACTGTGGTGATGTTAACGTTTGTTATTCCCTATTTACATCTTCCAACTCTTATGAAAATGATGTGAATGTGTGGCATGCTAGACTTGGTCATATTAGCCAACAGCGAATGCAAAGATTAGCCAAAGATGGCTTATTAGGCAATATTGAAAAAGTTGATTTGCCTATTTGCGAGCATTGCTTGGCGGGAAAAACAACAAGGAAACCATTTGGAAAAGGTATAAGAGCTGAGTTTCCTTTGCAACTAATCCATTCTGACATCTGTGGTCGAATGAATGTAAGAGCAAGGCATGGGGCCGTGTATTTCATCACATTCATAGATAATTGTACTCGATTTGGATATGTCTATTTGGTTTCTCATAAATCTAAGGCATTAAGTTGCTTCAAGAAATTTATGAACTTAGTAGAAAATCAATTAGATAAGAAAATAAAAACGTTTAGATCCGATCGAGGTCGAGAATATTTATCTGATGAGTTCAGAAATTTATGTGATGAAAAAGGAATAGAAAGACAGTTGTCTATTCCATATACTCCTCAACAAAATGGTGTTGCCGAGAGGAGAAATAGAACCCTATTGGAAATGGTTAGGTCTATGATGGTACAAGCTAACTTACCTATCACTTTTTGGGGTGATGTTTTGTTAACTGCTGCCTATGTACTTAACCGTGTGCCTTCTAAATCAGTTACTTCCACTCCGTATGAGTTATGGACAGGTAGAAAACCCGATTTAAGTTTTCTTAAACCTTGGGGTTGTGCTGCTTATACTCACGAGCCCTTTCACAAGTATGGGAAACTGGGTCCTAGAGGCAAGAAGAGTATTTTTATTAGATACTCAAAGCATTCGAAAGGGTATGTGTTTATAGATGAGCAAGAAAGTGGGAGTATTACTGAATTTGAATCACGAGATGTCACATTCTTAGAGAATGAGTTTCCTAAGAAGGGCAAAATAGGTGAGGACTACTCACTTTTTGAAACCTTGGATCATGATAATGAAATTGATGAAGATCGTCCAAGTGGGAGCAATGTGAGAAATGAGGAATTAAATTCGACTCAATCTCAATTGCAACCGTTTGGTGAGACGATACCGTCATTATCTAATCCAAGTGGGAGCGTAATGGAGAGTGATGTACCACGTGCACAATCTTCCGTACGGCGAACAAGTCGTAAAAGAGTTCCCCGACGACGTTTTGACGTTGAAGGGGAAACTTTTGTGGTCGCTCCACAAGATGAAGATGAGCCAAGGAATGTAAATGAGGCTCTAAATTGCCCTAATAAGAAAAAATGGATAGATGCAATGGAAGAAGAAATGGAGTCAATGAAATCCAATCAAGTTTGGGAATTGGTTGATGTTCTGAAAGGACACAAAGCTATTGGGAACAAATGGGTTCTCAAAATAAAACGTAAATCCGATGGCTCAATAGAAAGATATAAAGCTCGCCTCGTGGCGAAAGGGTATAATCAACAGAAAGGAATTGATTATGACGAAACTTTTTCTCCTGTAGTGAGATTTATCTCAATTCGCCTTATTTTGGCAATAGTGACAAGTATGGATCTTGAATTACATCAAATGGATGTAAAGACTCCTTTTTTAAATGGAGAATTAGAAGAAGAAATTTACATGGAGCAACCTATTGGCTTCATTGTGAAAGGCCAAGAACAAAAAGTATGTCGACTTATGAGATCGATATATGGCCTTCAGCAGTCTTCAAGACAATGGTATACACGTTTTCATAATGCCATAGTGGCGTATGATTTTACAATGATTGATGAAGATCATTGTGTATATATCAAAGGATCCAAAGATCAATTTGTGATCTTATCATTATATGTTGATGATATACTGATTGCCGGAAGTAATATGGAGTTGGTTAATACTGTTAAGAGTTGGTTATCGTCCAATTTTGAGATAAAAGATATGGGTGAAGCTGCATATATTCTTGGAGTTAAGATTTCAAAAGATCGTTCCAAGAGATTATTGTCTCTTCCGCAAGAGACTTATATCAACAAAGTTCTTGAACGATTTTGTATGCATGACTGTAGACCCATGGATACTCCTATTGCAAAAGGTGAAGGATTGAGCCGTAGGTTGTGTCCTAAGACTCCACAAGAAAAGGAACAAATGAAACGCGTTCCTTATACTAGTGCTGTTGGGAGTTTAATGTACGCTATGATGTGTACAAGACCTGACATATGTTTTGCAGTTGGAATGGTAAGTAGATACCAATCCAATCCAGGTCAAGCACATTGGAAAGCCGTCAAAAGAATCATGAGGTATCTAAAGGGTACTGCTGATTATTCTCTAAGTTATCAAGGAAAGGATCTGCGACTTGAAGGCTACTCAGATGCTGACTGGGGAGGAGATTTAGACGAAAGGAAATCTACCTCTGGATTTGCATTCTTACTGAATAATGGCGTCATATCTTGGAGCAGTAAGAAACAAACATGTATAGCATTATCCACAATGGAAGCCGAGTTCGTGGCATTGTCAGCAACAGTACAAGAGGGAGTTTGGCTTAAGAGATTTTTGGATCATTTAGGTGTTGTTGAGCATGCTGCAAGCTCCTTGTTAGTCAATTGTGATAGCCAAGCAGCGATAACATACACTAAGGGTCCGAAATATCATGGCAAGACCAAACATATAGATACCATGTACAATTTTGTTAAAGATATGATAGCACGAAAGGATGTGAACTTGCAGTACATATCTACGCATAGGATGATCGCAGATCCTATGATGAAGCCAATTCCTAGAGATATTTTCAATGGTCATGTAAAATCTTTAGGACTGCGTAGATGCTGATGTACTGAATATTGTAATTTCCCTTAATGTTCACATTTAAATGAAATTGTTATATCATTGTTAATGCCTATGAATTTATTTTATTTATGCATCTTAATACTTAATGTATTATGTTAAGAAAGTATGTTGGACAGATAAGATTAACCCACTCATACGAGTAATCGCCTCTATTTACTGTGTGATAAATAGAGATGAGACAATTTTAAGCTTATTATCTAGGTGATAATCATATAAATGTCGCCTTAGTTAAGTGCTAAGATGAAGACATAACATTTACTATGTCCGAAAGTAAAATAGTCCACATATTTTACTTTATCTGTCTTTGATGCCAGATATGAGTTCTAATGGATTCTTTAGAAGAGTAGATACGTGAACTCAAGTTTATACATTGAGTATGTCTGAACTATCATCTGTACGGTATTGAATGTAAAGACATACGCTCCATGGGAAAGGAGTTAATACCATAATACGTATTTCATACTACGTATGCATGAGACGACTGATAAGAGTGGCAAAAGTTCTTAATCTCAACTTTATGCCGTGTGAGACTCTTGACGATACAGAGTTCCTCATTTAGTGCCCTCACGACTCTGACTTATTCTCAAAGTTTTTATTCAGTGTTCGCTATCTTAGGGTGTTGCCAATGGTCATGAATGATTCGATCTAATGGGGCATTTCTAGAAAAGCGTGCTAGACTGAAATAGAGAGGTTTAAGGAAAGAGGAAGATCAATTTATTTATGATGTCACATTCTATTTTTGTATTCACAGGTCGACCAATTATGATTTTAAGTAAATCATAGTTGTGAATACAATATACGAGATACTAAAAGAAATCAAAAGAGATATAAATGTGACTGATTGATCTAGGGTACTGCATACTATATCTACTCGAAAACGTTATGCCCAAATTTGAGCTGCTATGTATTCTTAACAGATGCATAGCAACGAGCTCTCGAAGTATGCTGGTCGCACGGATTATTTGCTAGTATGAACACTGCAAAGAAGAAAGAGTTATGTTTAGCCCACCATGTGCGAGTGGGAGATGATGGGTTTTGTGATCGTTGGGCCGCCCATGTTGGGCCAAACCCAGCCCATTAATCTTGAAAGAGCCCATGAGAGAGAAATAACCGCCGAGGCAGTTATTTGTAAGGTAGTTATTTGTAAGGCAGACATGTTACGTACATTCTGTCAATTGTAGTGTGTTCATTCTAAGAGAAAATAAGAAACTCTCTCACTCAAAAAGGAAAAAGGGCTCTCGCTCGACGATCGAAGAATCGTACTCTCTCGGTGTTGCAATTGGAGCATTTAATCTGTGAAAAACAAGATACGTCCTTCTTGGTGATGTACTTTAGACGATCGGTGATTCAAGTTTATCGACTGGGCACATTTCCGGATATGTTTTCGGTGTTATTCGATAGTTTGAGTTTCCGTTTTAGAATGTGTTTTCGAGATTGTGTTTCTCAACACTATGGAAGAGAGATGAGGAGCAACGTGCACGATAAGGCAAGCCGAAAATCAGCACTTGGCAGCATATGAGGGTGAGATTGCAAAAGCAAATTGTGCCTGTTGATTATGCCATGGAGTTGTAACTCCGCTCACAAAACAAAATTCCATGTTGTCGGAGGATTATGCATCAGAATTCAATAACCTTTCCATCAGGGGCTTGAACGGATAGCTGGTTCGAAGGTATTTCACAAATTGATTTGAAAAGCAACCATCATCAAATCGGGCTGAAAAGTGGTGACAGATGGAATACATCATTCAAGACGCCAGGTGTACTTTATGAGTGGTTAGTGATGCCAATAGAACTTCCTGATGCGCCGACGACCTTTGTAAGTCATGACAGAGGTACTTATGCCTTTCTTGAAATCATTTGTTGTCGTTCATTTCAATATTTTCATTTACAGTCGGAACCGGATGAGCACTTGAAACATTTGTGTCAACTCTGATGCAAGAACTTGAAGGAAATGGCCAACCCCAAGACATCCAAATCAATGTATAGACATTCATTTACATATTGATATATAGATTGTGAAGGAAAAGATGTCGCAGATTAGTCAGGCTGGTACTATACTACTATTATTACCACTCCACGTCGAAGCCTTTGAAAACAGTTCAAGCATATCCAGGGATCTTTAAACAGAGGACCACGAACTTACAAGCCAGAGAGTATTTACTTAAAGTAAGGAGTTCACAGCAACCCCCCAAAGTTTTAATCTCTAGCAGCTTTAAGCCTTCAACGTATTGCGACCCATTACCTAGTGAGATAGTTCACGACTAGGAAAATCACCACGAATGATGCAACAAGAGAAAGCATTCTCCGGCTTGATTTCGTCTCAAACACCTGATGCAAAACCAACCAAAAAGAAACTATTACCCCGTTTACAGAGGGAGTTGCAGCATAAAATCCATTGATAGGGATACTGACAATAAGCTTACCATTTTAAAACGATCCATTGTTCCCGACAGAACTCCCCTGGATGAATCCATCTCATTGCCCTGAACAGATATAAATCCCTGTTAAGTAAACTATAAAGCCAATACAAAGAACTTGTTCGTTGGTGTGATATTGAAAATCCTGCATTAAGTGAATTAAAGAACCTACAGAAAGGACTTGGGGTGCTGATTCATACCATTCTATCCAACATGCGGTTATGGGTCTCCACTTCTTCATTTATATCACCAGACAACTGTTGAAGTGACAAGCATCAACAACTGGCATTGAAAATAAGAAATGGTAGAAATAGTAGGGCATCCAAAAATACTTTCGTTTTCTCTCTGAAGTGGAAGAAAAATTCACGATAAGACATGCTTCTGATGATATAAAGGACAGTGCTGCATCTCAGATGACATGACAAAAAGGATACACTATACGAATTCCATCCCTATATTGCTAGTGAAATCCACATTTTCTTTGTCGTGCCATACTTCTCTGGTTAAGGAGTGAAAACTGCATGACTATAGAGGAAGCTTCATATGGCATTGAGCAGTTTAGTCCAAATTAAAAGATCCCACAACAACAGAACATCACATCCAAATACTCACTCTCTTCAGCAGAATGACTCTATCCTGCAAGCCATCCATTGCTCTTTCATTCTCATGCTCATCAATCTCATGAGAAGAGTAAGAAGATGATGCCCTAATGCCACCTTCTTCAATGCCATCAAAGAGAGCAGCTCTATTGCCACGAACGTCCCTACAGACAAAATGCATTATTCAACATAGCAAGTTTAGCAAGTCGATATGAGCCCATGAACAGCTAACGACGAGGCTTGATTTCATAGAGGTCAAGTTAAACCATAAATTAACTAAGTCAGTTCGCACGCTAAATAAACAAAGAATTACACTGAAGATGCATACAGAAGGAAACATCACTCTGACAAGTTGTCAAAGCAAAGAGACATGATTTGGAGAAACTGTAAACATCATAACTTCCTCATAGATATTAGAAATAGCAAATTTATCACGGAAACTGTATCAGCAACACTTTGATGCAAATACAAGACAAGGACAGTGACCAAATGGACAATTATATTGTGCCTTGACAAGCTTCTTATCAATCAACAGTGTATATCTCCCAGAATTAGCTTTGCAGTGCATGGACAGTGAATCAAGAGTTCAGACCTTTTTCAATAACTTAGCACCAATTATTCATACACTCCAATCAGTACGAGCATTCATCCTTTTCTCTGTTCATGTCAGGAACGCAATCAAGAATTTCACCATTCAACTGGAATTTTTATTCACATGCCGGAGGAACATAATCCAACAGAAAAATTCTAGAGAAAGTTAAAAAAACCTATTTTAAGCAACCTAATTTTCAAAACATTAGAAGTCATCCGCCCCTCTTCCCATAGCAGAAGCAGAAGCAGCAACGACAACAACAAAAACTATTAGCCCATTAAGTGGCCCCACAATATGAACCTTTTGTCACCATTGCCTTATGTTCAATATAGTCTTTTATAAGCTCTAATTGCCTCATACTTCTCTTATAACCTCCTTTCATGTATTTTTAGGGCTTCACCTGCCCTTCAACCCAAGTCTCCAGCCATTAATCACATAACCCCTTATTGGAGCACCAGAGGTCTACGTTCTACGCGACCAAATCATCTCGAACGAGCTTCAGTCTTGCTCAATAGAGCAACTAGTACTTTTCCTCAATGCCTCCTGAGTTTACTTCATCTCGTTGGCAACTCTCTTCTAACATCTTGTGAAAGCTGGTGTATTCAATTCATTTCTAATTTTGTTTCTCTTCGTGTGCCTAAACTACCACTGGCGCATTCCCATTACCACTAGACTCGTTTTGTGAACATGTCGGTGTTTAATTAGTATCCCATGCGATAAAGCATCGTTGGCCTCGCCGCAGTCAATCAGTATTCGACAGTCGCACAAAACACCGAACACTTTTCCCCACTCCATCCATCGTACTTCTACTCTACGGCCAAGATATCCACCTCTTGCCAAATATATCCTAGATGTTTAGCATGTTCACTCTTTGGGAATTCTGATCTCTAATTCTCATCAAATGTTGTCTGAACTTCTACTGATGCATTTACACTCCTAGTATTCTAGCTTCGACAGATTTAAATGAAAATCCTTGGATTCCAACATTTCCCTCCAAAGTTCTGAGTTCATCAGTTACTCTTGCTTGTGGTTCATCAACAAAAATTATATCACCTAGAAAGCATATACCAAGAAATAAAACACACCAAGAAACACTTATTCTTGCTTGTTACACATAATTTATTTATCAATACTTCCCCATTCGCTAGGTCTCCTACAGTCCAAAACAAGAATTAACATCTAGAAATAATAGCAAAATTCTACGACAGCCTGTAAAAGAGAAGTCTATAGAGTATTTTTGTTAGAATTACAATTTTGACTGTGTCACTGTATGATATAACGATACTAAATCAGATTTAAGATCTCAAATTTTTCCAAAATTAAGTTTGAACAAGATCATGGCTGGACCCCGCATTCAAGACCGTAAAAATGGTAAAAATCAAACAAAATCGTAAAGTCGTACTAACTTTCATCTTTGTCCACTTTATGAAGTTTGTCCCGAAAAGAGTAAAATATTGAACTGAACAAGTTGAGTTCACATTTGAAATTCTTAAAAAAGAAAATCGAAAGACTAAAGTAAATGAGTTTTGTGTTATATCTATCCTAATTACAGTAGGTGAATCCAGAACTAGGCTTTTGTATACAAACATTTCAATGTTTCAACCAACAAAAGTCTGCTCCATGAGTGTCCTTTATGACAAGAGAAACAAGGAGTAGCAGCTGCGATGATGAAATAGTGCTTTTTGTTATGAACTTTTAGAATCATTATGGACTATTAAGCTTACTTGGCTTGTCTCTCCAATGAGCTTTATGCATGAAGTTGAATGAGAAAACTGTGTTTCTATCATGTTTTTTCTTTTACCTATTACATTTACTTGGTTTATATTAACGTTTTGGCTTTTGGTGCTTGTTACAATTTCGTACAACTCAATTCACAATGATAGGGATGACATGTTTTAAGCTATTTCTTTAGTAGTTTGTCCACTATAATGATTATGAGCTCCGATAGCACCATCCAATTTTACTGGCCATACCCTGATCTCACTTGAAAAACAAAAAGCAATTTGAACAGCCTTGCTTGGGAGGATATGTGCTCCATGAAAGTAGGCACTTGACAAAGTTCACCCCTATGAGGATTTGATGAATAGCAGACACCAACAAAAAAGAATATTTTCGTGTCTAAGGACTAGGCTATTTGCAAGACCAACAACAGTCTCAAATGATTACAAAAAATATTTGAAAATAATTAAGAACCTTCTGGTTGTACGGATGTATCACAATTTCAATACCTTCATCAGATTTTCAGTCATCAACTCGTGAAAAGGTAATTAAAAAAGTGCATGTGAAACTTTTCTGTTCATATCTGAGAAAGAATTTGATTGCAGAAAAGGGAAAACAATTGTTTGTCAGATGAAATAGGTTACCTCAAGTTGTTTAAAGTTTGAACATGCGGGAACAATTTGTGGTCGTGGATCAAGAAGCTTTCAAGAGCAACGTGCACTTATTCCTCATCTTCTCCCTGAGATTCAGATTCGTTGTCTTCTCCCTCATCTTCAGATTCAGATTTGGCATCATCTCCCTCAGATTCAGATTCGTTGTCTTCTCCATCATGTTTAGATTCAGATTGTCTGTCTTCTCCGTCCCACTCATTGTCTTCTTCTAGAAATTTGACTCCCTTCTCCGAGCAAAGGGAAGAAATTGCCTCCACATCTAATTTCTTGCACCGATTTATTTCAACCTTTCGCAGTCCCATCAAGCTCGATAGATTAGGCAACTCCTATAAAGATTTACAAGTATCAATCTTCAATTTTTCCAAAGATTGTGGTAGTTCGCCTTGAATCTCAGCCAGACTACCACAGCTACTTATGCAAACCTCTCGCAACCCCTTCAAGCTCGACAGATCAGGCAACTTCCGTAAAGATTCACAGTCATCAACCTCCAATTCTTCCAAAGATTGTGGTAGTTCGCCTCGAATCTCAGCCAGACTACCACAGCTACTTATGCAAACCTCTCGCAACCCCTTCGAGCTCGACAGATCAGGCAACTTCTGTAAAGATTCACAGAAAGAAATCTCCAATTTTTTCAAAGATTGTGGTAGTTCGCCTTGAATCTCAGCCAGACTACCGCAGCTACTTATCCAAACCTCTCGCAACCCCTTCAAGCTCGACAGATCAGGCAACTTCTGTAAAGATTCACAGTCATCAATCTTCAATTTTTCTAAAGATTGTGGTAGTTCGCCTTGAATCTCTGCCAGACTACCACAGCTACTTATGCAAACCTCTCGCAACCCCTTCGAGCTCGACAGATCAGGCAACTTCCGTAAAGATTCACAGAAAGAAATATCACGCCCCGTACCCCACGAAGCGACAACATCCCGCGTACAGGTCGAAATTGTGGTGCGACGCTCCCAGGCTACGTCACCGACCCGAAAACCCAAATCAGAGAAAAACACGACACATGCGGAAACGACGTATATATATATATATATATATATATATATATATATATATATTATATATACATATACACCCGGACAATAAACAAAGTAACCATGAATAGCACCAGATAAATAATTTACGAACAATTTGAAACGAGATAAACATTCTTTACCATAACTTATGTACAATATCCATTTACAACAAAAGATACAACGATAGGGCCACTAAGACAAAAAGGGATCAGCGGCCGGGGTCAACTACCAACAGGAGGGCTACAGTCAAAAAGCATCGGCCCTCGTTCCTACAACTAAGGTCTAACCTAGGGTACCCAGTTGGGATCAGAACCCGACAAATCTGAAGAACTCTCGGAAGGCTCCTGCTCCTCGGCCTCAGCTATATCCATCGGCTCTGGAGCCTCCGCGTACACCTGCTCCGGGATTGGGTCCACAACCTCTGGCTCAAAAGCTACCCCACCTAGCTCCTCATGCTCCTCCTCATCCTCCACAATCTCATACTCTACCTCCGAGTCTTGGTTACTCTCCATATCCACATCTATAATATCGCCGTTTGGACACTGCGGGTCCAACTGACCCTCTCCGACAAACGGGACATCAGCAGACCTGATGGGACCGAACTCGTCTCCAAAACGGTCCTGGAAACACCAAGCTAGGTACTCGTGGGTCTCATAGTGAGCTAAGCTTACGTCTACCCAAACTAACGTATAATGCCATATGTACACCTCATCATTCCCCACAGGATGAACTGTCCTCAAGCGCTCTATATGGGTGGGGATCCCGAAACGTAACGACGCGTCTTTAAAATTCATGGTCGAGGATCTGAAATGTCAGTTTTACAACAACCGTGAGAAAACTCAGCAAGTAACAACCCCTAATCCTAAACTAGGCTAATGTGCACCTCTAGATAGGTAAATTAAACACATCAAGCAAAGAACCAGTAAATCACTAAAATTTCTCCCGGGCCCACAGTCCAATACATTATCTCGAAACCCTGCAGGTTAGGTGTTCAACAACAAAAATACTCACGTGCAATTATTCCGACCCGAAGGCCCACAAATATAACGACCCGAAGGCCACGACCCGAAGGCCCACAGTTGTATAAATCGATCCGGAGGCCCGACTCGAAGGCCATAATTGAATAAAACGACCCGTAGGCCCGACCCGAAGGCCAACAGTTTGATAAAACGACCGGTAGGCCCGACCCGAAGGCCAACAGTTTGAATCACTTCAAACACGCACACTAATGCGCCCAATTCCAGTCAATCAACAACATGATATATGAATTTCAAGCTAGGACACCCAATGCCAACTTTCAACGCCAATATGCTAAACGCAATCATTCTCAATTTAGATGAATCCAACGCATTATCGATACTCCCAATTATTTCCATTCTAGTCCAATCAAACCGACAATCGTTCCGCGCATTTATTCCAAAGTAAATTTAATGCGCCTAAGGCCCGCCTTGGGCAACTCGATCTCAGTAGACATTCTTACCATCACGGGGTCGCCCAATAGGGTTTATACAAGCTCTAAATAGCCACCCAATTACCTAAATTCAAGTCATTAATCAATGAACCAAACAAGTCCCAGCTTTGGCACTTTGCACAAATTCGGTTCTGTGTGAACAGTATCAGGACAGAATACCATTTAGGCCATAAATCACATTTAAACCACCTCATTAAGCCCTAATCACATACCCTAATCACCCTACACCCAAATAAATCTAATTAGGCCCTAATTAAGCCTAATTAACCCCTAAATTACCCCTAGAATGCACAAATTCCAGCCATTATACCTTAATCCATTTAATGCTCAACTTAGACAATATAATGCAAATTCGGTACTGTATGAACAGTACCAGGGCAGAACTTGATTTGGGCACTAAACCACCCTTAACACACTTCATTAAGCACCAATTAGGTCCTCTAATCATCCACTAAACACTACCCACTAATTAAACACTAAACTAACCCCTAAAGCACAATTAGACTAGTTCGGGGTTTAGGGATTTATACTCGCCTAATATTAACTTGAGTCGACGAGAATGGGTGGCCGATTACCGACACGCGGTAAGAATCGGCGGCGACGTCCCGGAGGCAAGCCGGCGGTTCACGGCAGCGACGGCGGCAGCGGCGGTGCACGGTGGCTCGCCGGCGAGGCTTCCCGGCGTCCGGCGGTCTTCTTGCACCGGCGGTGAACGGTGATGGGCTGCTGTCCACGCCAAAATGAAACCAAAGAAGAAGGAGGAGGAGACGGTCAGCTGAAGATGAGGGTGATGAGGCAAGACAGGGACGGCGACACCGGTGCGGTTGGCTTCCAGGCGGTGATGGTGTCCAAGGGAGGTGATCGGGAGAGAGAGGGCTGCCGAGAGGTTTTTTGGAGGGAGAGAGAGAAATGGGCTGGTCAAGTATGGTCAAAGTTTGGTTAGTGGAAGCCAAGTGTCAATCATCAAAGGGCTTGGACATTTTTGCCCTTAATCCAATGGCTAGTATTCATCCATATCCAATAATGCAAGGGGCAAAGGGGTCATTTGTCCTCAATCATGGGCTGACCAGACCTGGTTTAGTCCAATTAACCTTGGTTAATTCCTCAAAATTTATCCAAATTCAGAATTAGATAAAAATGGCCTTAGGGGCATTTTCGTAATTTTCCGATCCCGGGTCGAAATTCCAATTTTTGTCCATACCGGTCCTATATATGCGTGGCCAGCATAATACGGTGTCGGATCCATAAAAATTATCCTTTAAACCCTCGAAAATCAGTCCGAAAGTCTGGAGGGGTAAAACCGTAAATTTTCGTTCCGGGGTCGAAATTCCAATTTTCAACCGCACGCACTCCAGACATGCGTGGCCACTCCAAATTGGCATCGGTTCTGAAAAATAACTTCGTTTGGTCTCGAAAACGGACATCGGGGTCCCTAGAGGCAAAATTGTAATTTTCTCAATTTTTTGTCGAGTTTTCATTTTTCAGCCGTACTAGTCTCAAACATGTGTGGCGACTCTCAAATGACGTCGGTCTTGCAAATTAGTCGTAATTACCCTTGAAATTTTGATATCGAAGTTCGGTTCCAATATCACGACCAAATTTGCTAGTTTTGAAGTTTTAGGGCCTCTCACTAACGGGCGGCTGTTTAGGTGTTACGCGTATCGACCTGAGGTTGTCCGTGTCGTGATAGTCTCGAATTTTGGGAGAACGTGAGGAATTATCACTAGTACCGGAGGTCGCTATCGTTCGGACTAAATTCAGGATTAGTTTGTCAGGCGTACTTTCAGTCGTGCGGAATCACCCGCAATCCGATCATACGTTACTGACCCTAACACATCCGTCATTTTCCTAAGATCGGCCCATATTGGTCCAAAATATCCCTTCGACGTTTCTCGAAATCGGTACTCAATCACGATCGGTTCCTCGGTCCACGTACCGGTTCCTATTTAGCCTTTCCCATCTAGTTAGTATCCTGTGATTGATCAAGTCCGGGCGAGACTTACTAAAATCAAACGAGAATTAATGTACACTTTATTGGTCCCGGTAACGGGTCAAAATTCAGGATGTTACAACTCTTCCCCCCTTACAAAAATTTCGTCCCCAAAATTTGTACTCTAAACTTGCTCCTCAAACAACTGGGGGTGTTGACGTCGCATGGCCTCCTCGCTTTCCCATGTAGCGCCTTCTGTCCCGTGGTGTTCCCAGACTACCTTGACCATCGGGATTGTCTTATTCCGCAATACTCGATCTTTCCGGTCCTCAATTCTGACTGGTTTCTCCACGTACGACACCTTGTCGTCCACGTCTATTTCTTCATATCTCAGAACGTGTGTCAGATCTGGCTCGTACTTTCTCAACATCGACACGTGGAGCACGTTGTGTACCTAAGACAAGTTAAGTGGCAGGGCAAGCCTATACGCCATATCACCAATCCTTTCCAATATCTCGAACGGTCCGACAAACCTCGGATTCAGTTTTCCTTTCTTGCCGAATCGAGATAACCCTTTCATAGGCGATACCTTGAGGAAAACATGATCTCCAACTTGGAATTCCAAAGGTCGTCGTCTTCGATCGGCATAGCTCTTTTGTCGACTTTGTGCTGTCTTCACCCTTTCCCGAATAATCTCGACAGCTTTCACTGTCTGCTGTATCAGTTCTGGGCCAGTAATGCTTCGCTCACCTACTTTGTCCCAGCACACGGGAGTCCTGCATGCTCTGCCATATAAGGCTTCAAATGGGGCCATCTGAATGCTCTGTTGGTAACTGTTATTATACGCAAATTCTACCAAATGTAGCTGCTCTTCCCTTTTACCTTGGAATTCCAGCACGCAAGCCCTTAACATATCCTCGAGGGTCTGGATTGTCCTTTCCGATTGACCATCAGTTTGTGGATGGTAAGCTGTACTGAATTGTACCTTCGTTCCCAAGGCTGTCTGCAGACTCTTCCAAAAATTCGCAGTAAATCTCGGGTCACGATCCGATGTAATCGTCACTGGTATTCCATGTAGTCTGACGATCTGTCTCACGTACAGCTCTGCATACTTTTCTAGCTCAAAATTCTTTCTCATAGCTAAGAAGTGTGCCGACTTCGTAAGTCGATCCACAATCACCCAAATGGAATCATGCCCCCTCTGGCTTCTCGGTAATCCGATCACAAAGTCCATGGTGATGTGTTCCCATTTCCACTCGGGAATTTCCAACGGTTGCAGCAGTCCTCCAGGTTTGCAGTGTTGCGCCTTCACCTGTTGGCACGTCAAACACTTAGCCACATACCTGGCCACATCCGTCTTCATTCCGTTCCACCAATATTGTTGTCGTAGATTCTAATACATTTTCGTGCTGCCAGGGTGAATACTGTAATTGCTGCGATGAGCTTCTCTTAGTATTTCTTCCTTAAGCTCGGTATCATTGGGTACACACCATCGTCCTCTAAATTTCAAAATTCCATCGTCAGACACTTGGAAATCTGGCTTCCTTGTAGTGGCATCCATTCCCACAATCTTTTGAATTTCCTGATCCGTGGATTGCAGCGCTTTAATCTTGGTTTGAATTTCCGGCTCGATTCTCAAAGTAGCCAGCAGATTCGACACATGGCTCAATTCAAATTTAAACTCTGAGTCTTGGAGTCGTTCTAGCAATGTCCACTCTTTGATCATCATGTGCGCCATACTTGACTTGCGACTTAGCGCGTCCGCTACTCGGTTTGCTTTTCCCGGGTGATACATGATATCACAATCATAATCTTTCAGAAGTTCCATCCACCTACGCTGCCTTATATTCAACTCTTTCTGTGAGAATAGATATTTGAGACTTTGGTGATCCGTATAAATCTGGAACTTTTCCCCGCATAAATAATGTCTCCAGATTTTGAGTGCAAAAACAATGGCAGCCAGCTCGAGGTCATGCGTCGGATAATTCATCTCGTGCGGCCTCAACTGGCGTGACCCATACGCAACTACTTTCCCATGCTGCATCAACACACAACCAAGTCCCCTAAGTGAAGCATCACTGTAGACCTCGAATCCACCAGGTCCAGACGGAATAGTTAAGACTGGGGCTGTCGTCAGTCTGTGCTTTAGTTCCTGAAAGCTTCGTTCACACTTGTCATCCCATTCAAACTTAACCTCCTTTTTCAGCAATCTCGTTAGTGGCATGGCTATCGACGAGAATCCCTCCACAAAACGTCGATAATAGCCGGCCAATCCCAAAAAACTCCTGATTTCCGTCACTGATGTTGGTCTGGGCCACTTAAGCACTGCCTCGATCTTAGCTGGATCCACATATATTCCTTCTCCCGATACTATATGTCCAAGGAATGCTACT